TGGACAGTGACTGTAATGGGGTATGTGGGGGTACTTTGTGATGGGTGGAGTCTATTAAACATTATGTTCTTCATGTAATTGTAGATTAATGATAAAGGAAGGAAGGAAGGAAGGATAAAAATAAATAGATGATAGATAGATAGATAGATAGATAGATAGATAGATAGATAGATAGATAGATAGATAGATAGATAAAAAACAGAACTAGTATATGATCCAGCAATTCCACTTCTGGGTAACCATCCAATGGAAATGGAAATTATTATCTCAAAAAGCTTTCTGCACCCCTATGTTTATTACAGCATTATTTCCAATTGCCAAAATATGTAAGCAACCTAAATGTCCATCAGTGGATGAATGGATAAAGAAGATGTAGTACCTATATACTGTGGAATATTATTCAATCACACAAAAGGATATCCTGCCACTTGGGACAAACATGAATGGACTTTGAGTATATTATGTTAAGTGAAATAAGTCAGAGAAAGACAAAATACTCTATGATCTCACTTCTATGTGGAATGTAAAAAACAAAACTCATAGCGACATAGAGAAGATTGGTGCTTGCTAGAGGGTGGTTGCCAGTAGACTCAGAGGGAACAGGTGAAAGTGGTCAAAACTTATAACAAATTCTGGGGACGTAATGCACAGCGTGCTGACTATAGTTAAGATAGTCTGTGTTACATACGTGAAAGTTACCAGAAGAGTAAATCTTATACTTTTTCATCAAGAAAAAGACAGGTGAAGGGTGTTAACTCAACTTATTGCAGTAATCACTTTGTAATATATATACACATATCAAATCATTATGTTGTACATCTTAAACTATACAGTGTTATATGTCAAATATATATCAATAAAACAGGGAAATTTGTTAAATTCTGTTCTTCCAAGGATATTATTAAGAGAGGGTTAAATATGGAAGAAAATGTGTGCAAAACATATATCTGACAAAGAATTTACAAAAAAGTCTCAATACAACAGTAAGACAACCCAAAAAAGGTTGGCAATGGATATTAAGAAGATTGCCATTTCACCAAAGATACATGCATGGCAAATAAACACATAAAAAGCTGCTCACATCATCAGTCACCATAGAATGCAACTTAAAACCACAATGAGATACCACTGATTATTTATTTGAATGGTTAAAATTAAACAGAATGACTATATTGTGTTATCAAGGATATGGAGTAACTGGAATTGTCATACACTGCTTGGTAGGAATGTAAAACTGTATGTACAATCACTTTGGAAAAGTTAGGCAGTTTCTTAAAAAGTTAAACACATATCTATCTTATGACCGAGTCATTCTACTCCTGGGTATTTATCCAAGAGAAAATGCACACAAAAACTTATATACAGTTTTACGTGTAACAACCAAAAACGGGAAACAACCCAAGTTGTTGATCAACAGGCAAACAGATAAATCAAGTGTGGTATATCCATAAAATAAAATACTACCTTGGCAAAAGGAAAACACTGACACACATGACAACTTTGATGAATCTCAAAATAATTATACTGAGTATAAAATAGTATGTACTATATGATTCCATTTATCTAAAACCATAGAAAATACAAACTATAGTGACTGAAAGCACACTAAGTGGTCCAGTATATGAGTGAGCTGGAAAGAGTATGAAAGAGGGATTACAAACAGATATAAGGAAACTTTATGGATAGAGAATATGTTCAGCATCTTGACTGTCGTGGTGGTTAATGAATATATATATGTGTGTCAAAATTTATCAAACTGTACACTTCCAATATGTGCAGTTTACTGTCTCAATTATACCTCACAAAATCTCTTTAAAAATTTAGCATTACCTTTTCCTTTCAGCTCTTTCCTTTCTACTCTTGATAGCATTTCTTCTAAAACACTACAGAACTAAAAATTTTTTTCCATATTCTGTACATTTTCAAAAGTGAACCTTTAGAACACCAGACACAAATGTATGGTACAGCTGCAAAGATACAAATATACTGACAAGAATATTTTCTCTAACCACCTATTTCTACAACCTGATTACAGACAGGAGTCCTGCCACTACTATCCCCCTTTACAGGGGTACACATAGGTCTGCATCGTATCTCTTTTGCACCACTATGACCCTTCAATCTTCCACACCACCTTTTTGGCTTTCCCATCTCACAGCTTTCCTTGGTATCTAACAGTAACACCTATGCTCCTATTTAATTTCATTTTTCACATCTACCAAATTTTTATCTTATTTTTTAAAGATTTAAGAGTAAGAAAAGTATTTCTACATACTTACCTCAAGTACTGGCCCAGCTCCAAGAATAATTTGTTCCACTCCACTGGCAAATCCTTTCTGACTGAGAGCAGTAAGGTGATGAATAAGAAAGTTTGTGCTTTGAGTCTTCCCAGAACCACTCTCTCCAGAAATCACGACACATTGATTCTTTTTGCGCTGAAGCATGGCATGATAAGCTACATCAGCTACAGCATAAATATGGGGCTCAAGTTTTCCCAATTGGTGGTTATCATACATTTTGACATATTTAGGGTTATAAATAGGAAGAAATTTGAAAGGGTTAATAACTATTAGAATACTGCCAACATAGGTATAAATTTTTTCATGCTTAAAACGATTTCGTAAGTTTTCTAATAGAGTTTTCTCATTCAAATCAGGTAAGCTACATAAATCATCAAAGTCTTTCTGCTGAGGCTGTGGAAGAAAACCCCGTTCCATCATCCTGCGACGTTCTTCTGTCACCCGTAGCCATGACTGAAGACTGCCATAATGGATTGATCCATCAAGGTTTTTTTCTCTCAGAAGAAAGCGGTAGTCCTCTCCACTCAGGCGATTTTCCAGAGCCATTCGGGGCCACAACATCATTCGCTGAACAGGACAGTCTGTTGGATTGAGTATCCATTCTTCTCCACCAAATTCCTTTACCTCTGCTAGAACATAACATTTTGTTTTGTCAAGATGAAGTCTATTTATAAGAGACTCAATCACCTCAGCCGCTGTGGAGTTTTTTCCGGCAGGGACTGGACAGTAGATTGTTCCTTCTGAAATTGTCCCGGGATATATATGTAATGTATGTTCATTATCCTCAAAGCGTCGTCTTCCTCCATCATTTATATTCATATTGGATCCTGTCCCATCAGCATGGAGAGTACATGTTCAAGACTGTGCATACCATTTTCATGGCTAAAGAACTGTAACATAAGAGATGTGAAATATTTAGAAGTCATATTTCACAATCAGTGCTTTCAGATGCTCAAGAAAGAAAGGCTTAACAAGATGTTGATTACATATTTTAGAACACAAAATCCTAACACTTAGTATAGGAACAGTCTTGAAAATAGTCTCATTGAGACCACATATTACATAATATTTGACAATTTTATTGTCAAATTTGGACACTTTCTAAAACAGCAACACACCAAAATTTTTTTCAATGTTTTATTACATTAGTAATTAAAAATCCAGAAACTACAAATAAAAGTTATTTTGTTCCCTAGTATCTCAGATGTTTCTAAGGTACCCCAGATGAGCATCAATTTTTCTTTCTTTCTTTCTTTCTTTATACTTGAAGAGCCTCACTGGAGACTGGATTAGGACAGACAGAAGGATCACACAAGTCTACTCACCCTGCACCCAAAAACTCTGATGGGTAAAGCAAAAACAAGAAAGAATGCCAACAATGGGGCAAACTTTTTGTGAAATTAGTAAGATGAGATCAAACAAACAAAAATTAAACTAGATGAAATTACAACTAAGAGAACAATGAGAGAAATCTGCTTAAGAATAGACATTTTTCAAGACTTTTGGGCTCCCTCTACCTCCCTTAAAGTTGGAGAAGAAGGGGGTAACAAAAAGATCCTGCCCCAGGCCTGCTGAACAAGGTTGAAAAAAATTACATTAAAGCACCATTATAAATGTTATTCAACCTTCCTTTTCCTTCAGTGCTACCTTTTTATATCTAACCTTATTACATTTCTTGTAAGTATTCTATATATCCTCCCCATCTTTTCAAACTTGACATGTATCACAAATCTAGAATTATTTTAACTTTCATATCTGAAAAAACAGTTATTTCCTTTAAATGACTCATCCGACTCAAAACGCATTCCTATTTTCATTTCATCTCTGTTATTTCATTCCTGGGTAAAAAGAAAATGTGTCCCACATCCTTTCCAGGGCTGCTAGTAAAACCCATTTCGTATCATCTCAATCAGTAACTTGCCTGTCAAAAAACCACTCCCACGTGTTATCAATCTTATCCTTTTTACTTATCTCATCCTTTAACATACAAAGATGCTGTTATTTTTTTTAAGCTACTACTCTCTCATTATATAACATATTTGTGGAAGTCCTCTAATGAAGAAACTTTGTTTACCTTTTTCTTAGATGATCTTGGATGTCTACCTTAGACAGACAGAGAATATCATAGAACATATAAAAAGCAGCCATATATCTACCACCCAAATTCAACAAGCTTGAAAATGCTCTAATTGCTCCAGATCATTTTACAAACAAGTAAGATATTAAAGATACAGAGATCCTTCCTTTTCCCTGCAGAGGTAACCACAATCCTTAGGTTGGTATTATTCCTATATATGTTTTTATATTTTTATTATATATGTGGCTCTCTATAAATTATAGTTTTGTTTCAGTTTTTTAAGCTTAAAAAAATGGTTGTCACATTACACTGAATAGTCTGTAACTCACTTTAACTTTAATATTCTTTGCTCCTGTAAATGCTGATGCATGTAAAGCTCATTAACTGACAAATAATATGCCATTGTAGGTTTGTTAACTACAACAAATGTACCCTCTGGTGGGAGATGCTGATAATGGAGGAGGCTATGCATGTGTGGGGGCAAGCTGTGAGCCTATCTCTGTACTTGCATTCAATTTTGCCCTTAACCTAAAATTGCTCTAAAAAACAAAGTCTGTCTTCTTAAAAATCACTGTATGATTATATCACAATTTGTAGATCAATTGTCCTTCTAGTGAACACTTAGAATGTTTCCAATACTACGCTATGTAAAGCAATGCTGCAATTGCTTTGCAGCATTTGAAATCCTTTGCTAGAATTTCTCTGGGCTTTTACCTAGGAGTGGAATTTCTGGCTTTTAAGCTTCTTCGATTTTACTGGGTATTAACAAAATGCCCTCCAAAGTAATTGTACCAACTCTTTCATAGCCAGCGTAGGAAAACTCACATTTCTCTGTCCCCTAACCAATAACAGTTAGTATTGTCATACTTCAGTTTCTACCAATATAATTGTAAAAAGGGATATCATTACTTTAATCTGCATTTCCCTGATTACTAGTGAGGATGGGCAACACTTCTATCATTTGCCACTTGGGCTATGCTGCTTGTTCATTTTCCCTTTTTTGAGTTGTCTTTTCCTTACTGGTCTGAAAGAGTTTTGCACATAACCTTGGATATTAATTGTCAGCTGAATGTGTGACAAATATCTCCTACCAATCATTTTGGTATGCTGCCTTTCTATTTTGCTTATGCTGCCTTCTTTTGTAAAGAAGTTTTTATTTTTAATGTCAAATTTATCAGTCCTTTCCAGCTTATGATTTGTTTCTTTATTAATAAACAAGATTAACAACAATTAGTTAACTCTTATTGTGTGCTTCTTTTTACTAATTGTTTTTATAAGCATTTCATACAGATTATTTAACTTAATCCTCATAATTATTCCCTAAGGGTTCATCATCCTCATTTTACAAATGAGAAAACAGAAATATTATAGAACTTCCACCATAATCAAGACAATTTGGTACTGGCACAAGAACAGAACCACAGACCAATGGAACAGATTAGAGAGCCCAGATACAAACCCAACCATATATGCTCAATTACTACACAATAAAGGAGCCATGGACATACAATGGGGAAATGACAGCCTCTTCAACAATTGGTGTTGGAAAAACTGGACAGCTACATGCAAGAGAATGAAACTGGATTACTGTTTAACCCCATACACACAAGCAAACTCAAAATGGATCAAAGACCTTAAGTCATGAAACCATAAAACTGTCAGAAGAAAACATAGGCAAAAATCTCCTGAACATAAACATGAGCAACTTCTTCCTGAACACATCTCCTCAAGCAAGGGAAACAAAAGCAAAAATGAACAGATGGGACTACATCAAACTAAAAAGTTTCTGTTCGGCAAAGGACACCATCAACAGAACAAAAAGGTATCCTACAGTATGGGAGAATACATTTGTAAACAACATATCTGCTAAGGAGTTAACATCCAAAATATATAAAGAACTCACACAACTGAACACCCAAAAAACAAATAACCCAATTAAAAAATGGATGGAGGATATGAAGAGAGAATTCTCCAAAGAAGAAATTCAGATGGCCAATAGACACATGAAAAGATACTCCACATGTCTAATCATCAGGGAAATACAAATTAAAACCACAATGAGATATAACCTCACACCAGTAAGGATGGCCAGCATCGAAAAGACTAAGAATAACACATGCTGGCGAGGATGTGGAGAAAGGGGAACCCTCCTACATTGCTGGTGGGAATGTAAACTAGTTCAACCATTGTGGAAAGCAATAAGGAGGTTCCTCAAAAAACTAAAAATAGAAATACCATTTGACCCGGGAATCTCACTCCTTGGAATTTACCAAAAGAATACAACTTCTCAGATTCAAAAAGACATATGCACCCTTATGTTTATCGCAGCAGTTTTTACAATAGCCAAGATATGGAAGCAACCTAAGTGTCCATCAGTAGATGAATGGATAAAGAAGATGTGGTACATATACACAATGGAATACTATTCAGCCATAAGAAAGAAACAAATCCTACCATTTGCAACAACATGGATGGAGCTAGAGGGTATTACGCTCAGTGAAATAAGCCAGGCGGAGAAAGACAAGTGCCAAATGATTTCCCTCATTTGTGGAGTATAACAACGAAGCAAAACTGAAGGAACAAAACAGCAGCAGACACACAAGACTCCAAGAAGGGACAAGTGGTTACCAAAGGGAAGGGGTGTGGGAGGGAAGGAAATGGGGATTGAGGGGTATTATGTTTAGTACACATGGTATGAGGGGTCACGGGGAAAACAATGTAGCACAGAGAAGGCAAATAGTGAATCTGTGGCATCTTACTACACTGATGGACAGTGACTGCAATGGGGTATGGGTGGGGACTTACATGGGTGAATGTAGTAACCACATTGTTTTTTCATGTGAAACCTTCATAAGAGTGTATATTAATAATACCTTAATACAAATTTTTTTTTTATAAATAAAGAATGAAGATGACCCCTGGGCAGGTGCACCATTCAAAAAAAGAAAAAAGGAAGGAAGATTACATTACTTGCCTAATGTCATTAAGTTGAGATCTGAAGCAGGCAGACTGGCTCTAAAGCCTACACAGTATTACCTCCTGGTATAGTTTTTAAAAAACCTCCCTCATCCTGAGAACATAAAGTCATTATTCTATATTTTCTTCTAAAAAGCCTAAGTTTTGCTTTACTCATGTAAGCCATTAACCTATACAGAATTTATTTCTGTGTGTTGTGAGATAGGGTTCTTTTTCACACCAATTCAGATTAGCAATTGAACCAGCACTACAGTGAAAAGCCTAAAACCTTTCCCCACTGATTTATAATGCCATCTTTGTCATATAACAAATCCCATATAAATATCCATCTGTTTTAGGTTCTGTGTCCTGTTCCACTGGTCTATTTGTCCATCCCTGAGCCTATCTTAATCATTACAGATCTATAGTAAGCTTTGATACCTGGAGGGCATATTACCTCAATTTGTCCTTCTTTAATGTTACTTTGGCTACTCTACTATAAGAATTTTAAGATCAGAGTGTCAATCACCATTAAAAAAAACTTCCTGGCATTCTGAATGACACTGCATTGGTTTTATAGATTAATAATGGAAAAACTGACATCCTATTTTATTGACTTCCCATTCATATACACCACATTATTATTGTTGTTTTAAATTATAGTTTTTTCACTTTTAAGGTTTCTATCATTTTCATTCTCCTGGTCTTTAGTCTACCTATTTAAATTTCATAATTGTTTTAATTTAAGGGATATTACTCCCTCACTTAACTACTCGAAAATCCTAAATGCATAATTTGATATTTTTCAGACTGGTACTTTAACCTCATTAGAGTGAAGTGCTCTTATGATTGAATTTA